CTACTGTACACTACATTGGAATATTAATGTTATAGCTTCACAAGAGCTGAAACTCTTTACTGCTGCACCAGATGTATTCTTCTCTAAGTCTCCCTCATTTTACTACATTATTCCTTTATCTACCCAGGAATCAACCCATGGCAATAATCCTACATTCTTTTTTTTTCTTTGTCACTATTGCAAAACAATCAGCAAGTCATGACAACTTTGCCTTCAAAATATATGCAAAATGGATCCACTTTTTCCTTACTTGGTGCTACCTTGCTTGTCTGAAGTATCACCATCTCTCACCTACACATTCCAACAGACTCCTAGGTGGCCTTCTGCTTCCCTTTTACCCTCCTAAATCCATTCCTTACACAATAGCCAGAATGATTCTTTCTAAAAATGTAAACCACGTCAAATAACTTGACTAGCACTCTAAACAAAATCCAAAATCTTTTTCTTGCTCTGCCAAGCTTACATAAGCCTACTCCAGCCAAACTTTTCACCCTCTCCCCACTTTTCTCCCTTGCCTCCTTTCCTTATTCGCTCAATTACAGGCACAGTAATCATTCTCTTTCTCTTCTCACACTATGAACCTCAGCACTTCTGAATTTACTATTCATTCCTTCCTATTCCTCCTTATGTTTAGTGGCCAACATCTTTGTCTGTTTTATGTCTCATCCCTACACCTAAAGAGTTACCTCTTTAAGGAGGCCCTTCCTTACCATGAAACCACAGTATCACTCCTCAATCACCCTACACTTCACTGTTCTAACTTTATTTCTTCACATCACATATCACTATCTACAATTATCTTGTCTTTTTCTTTGTCTACTATGTGACTGACTCCCCACAACTAGAAACTAAGCTCCACAAAAGAGAAAGCTTGTCTCTCTTTTTCACCAATGTACTCCCAGATCTAAAAACATTGCCTGGTACATCTACCAAATTCTAAGACATGGGGCCTCAAAACGTTGCCTGGCCTTCAAAAATACTAGTTTAAAAAGTGAATAAATTTCTCTTAAAATCAGGAACTGAAAGATGATGTCTGACAGTACTACTATTTAATATGTTCTGTAAGTACTATGCATTGCAATAAAACATAAGAGATAGTTTGAAGCATGATTAAAGGATAAACAGGAATTAATCAGAAAAATTTCAACAATTTTACATACTAAATCATTTTGAAACAATATTATACACTAAATAAGATATATGTATGTGTATATGTATGCATATATGTATAGTTGACTCTTGAACAACACAGTGGTCAGAGTGCCAAGCCCTCATGCAGTCAAATTTGCATATAACTTTTGATTTTCCCAAAACCTAACTACTAATAGCCAACTGTTAACTGGAAGCCTTACCCAATAACATAAACAGTCAATCATCATGTATCTGTATGATATATGTATTATAAACCATATCCTTACAATAAACTAGGTTAGAGAAAAGAAAACATCATTAGGAAAATTATAAAAAAGAGCAAATGGATTTACAGTACTGTACTATATTTATTGATACCGTAAGTTTACCTTGTCTATTTACAAGATGCATCTTCCATCTGAAATGGTAGGCAACCACAGCTGCAGACCTCAATCTACGTCACATATCAGACAATTCAGCTTTTTCTTGTAATGTCATGATTTTTCTCTGGTTCTTGGGAGCACTTCCAGCATCACTAGTGGCACATCCTATGGGTCTCACGGTGTTATTCAAGGTTCGAGGTATTGTAACAAACATGATGAAAAATACACAAGAACTACAAGAGATTACTTTTTACTGTGATACACAATTTACTGGAGAGATGAGCTGCTCACGTGGAGATGATTAGAGGCACACTGCATTTAAAGTGGACACTCACAACATGAGCTCACTGCAATAGCAATAGAGGTGGCTATGAAATTATTATGGTGGTATAGCATGTACTACAGTCAATTTTATACAGTTATGATTTAACACTGCATCTTTGCATCCACTTGACTGCAGATGGCAACATGTAATGTCTGTGTTTGTGTTTAATAACATTTAACTTTTTACAATAGATTTGTATGTATTTTACAGCAGAAAATTATAAAATAAACTAATATTTAATATCTCTTATACATTCATGACATTCCTTACTTTTTTATTTTTTTATTTTTATTTCTGGGCTATGTGATTCATCTATGAGTTGTTTCAAATTATTGCAAATATTTTAAAAATTTTAATACATTTATTGAAAAAAAATCTGTGTGTAAATAAACCTAGGCAGTTCAAATCCATGTTGTTCAAGGGGTAACTGTATGCACACACAAATATTCATATATAACCAGGGAATATATAACATATGCATTATGAATACATAGTATATAACATTATAACATCTAATACACATAGATATGCATGTATCTTAGCTTTCGTAAAGTTAAAAACTATTTGGGAGAAAACACATTTGTTTTATTCTTTAAAACTAAATATATTTTTGATGTATCAAAGGGTTGAATATGGAAATAAAACCTCAAGACAATGAAAAAATATGGAAGAAAATTTTGAATATCAAGATGAGGAAAGATTTGTAAGCATCAAAACAAAAGAAGTCACAACATACAAAATTTAAATTTCTGTTCATTGAAAATAATACCATAATTCAAATTAAAAGAAAGTATTGGAGTGAAAGCATATTTTTCAAGTTAAGAGCAGAAAGTGTTTAAGATATTTAATATATAAAAGCCTTATAAAGTCACAAGAAATGTGTTGTGTGTGAATTATCAAATGTATTAAAATACAAATATAAACCAGCAAGTATATGGAAAACTTATTTGCCATCACTAGTAATTCACACTTACACCTTATAAAAAGAAGATATTTGCATTTCTCAAATTGTTACAGTTTATTTTTACAATTATCAGTGTCAGTATGAGTTGAAATGGGCGTGCTCAAATACAGCCAGCAAAATTATGAATTCGTCCATTTTTAAAAATAATTAGCAAACTGCATCGAAAGTCTTAACAGGGTTCCTACCTTTGAAGTACTCAATTTCTGTTTCTTTTTCATAAAGAAATAGAGATGTATACATTTCAGTTCAAGAAGGTATGTTGCAAAGTAACATAAAATATTAAAAAGTAAAAACATCTAAGTATTTTGCAATTATTGGATTTTTAAAATAATGCCACATCAATAGAACAACTATCAAAACCATACATTTGGAGAACACTTAGCAACATGGATTGGAGTGTTTTCAATATAATGCAGATGAAAAATCTCAATTATATCCACTTGTTATGGGTTCATCAAGACAGGCTGGGTTAAGTTATAGTAAGAAACAAATCTCAAATTTAATGACTTAAACAAAATTTTATTTATCATTCTCAATACCTGTATAAAGTGGGTCAACAAAGGGTATCTGCTCATAGTAGTCACTTGTGGTCCAAGACTCACAGAGGATTCATCTCAACCAACAAATGTTTCCATAATCATCATGGCAGGAAGAAGGAAACTTGAGGTATCACTAACTGGTTCTTACTACACTTCTGTTCATATTTCACTGTTCATATTTTATGGGCACATCTTCTTTGGAGTGTATGGAGAAATACAATAATATTATGCATATACATATTTGAAGAGTTTTGTGCTCCTTAAGTTTAAAAACTATATTTAGAAAAAAATATCTTTGATAGTATTGTTCTAATGCTGTGTGGTGGGTTTACAGGTATTAATTTTATAATTATGCTCACATAACATATGTATGTATATCTCACCTATATCAGATGCCACATATAAAAAATAAAGTAAAAATGGGAAAGTAATCACAGCATTAAATCAAGAAAATGGGGTATTAAAGGAAGTTATTCTGTATACTAAAACTTTCTGAGTTATTTTATTAAAAAATTTGAAAATTAAAGTTATCAGATTATAATTCAGTACTTAATTGTATTAATTCAGTACTTTACTGAATTGTTTGAATAAAACTGAAGAAAAATGGTCTTTTTTCCTCTTGTATAAAGTAATGGATTCAATCAAAAAAGAAATTTATTTGTTTTTTCTTTATTTAACTTAAACATTGTGATCTCAGTGACAAAATTACATAGGATGTAGAGCTTACAGTTCAATTTTCAAATGTTAAAATTCAGATCTTTAAGGCAACTCAAATCAATGCAACATGACTAAAACACTTGAAATCACATCCTTTATTGGATAAAATGGTGTATGTGTGTACATACATAAATGGATAATCATACATCCAAATAGGTGTGTATTCTATGCACCCACATCAACCAAAATGCATGCACTATAATCAGCTAAAAGATAAATAACATGCAAAGTTTCTTGCTTTCTCAATAGAAATTATTTATTTTAACAAACACACTTCCCATTGGCTGCTAACAAGTAGAGAACAATTTTTTTTGTTTATAAAAATTGCATATTGATTTCATTGACCTATTCTCTAGTCACACACTAGTAATTAATAAAGCTGAAGTCACTTTTCTAAATAGTGCTATTCAGGCTGGTCTTGGTGTAACTGCAAAGATCCACTCAGTTCCTTTGTTGTAGTCCATCTTGGCCATAGTTTGTCCTTAACTAGCTCTCTGTTTCAAGTAATTAAATTTTTACTTTATTTTCTGTACCATATATCCCACTATCCCATTGTCCCTGAGTCAACTTGACTCTCTGCCTAGTATCTCAGTACTCTGGATTTCTTATCCCACTTCACTTTGCTCTTATTTTTTTGCAGAAACAAAGATATAGTTCTTGGTCTTCAAATACTAAGCCTGAATCCCTAGTATTAGCTGCTTGAGCCACATAATCTTTATTGTCATTCTACCTGACCTCACTCATTAACTTATGGATCCATTCAATCATTCATTCATTTGACAAACATTTACAGATCACATATAGGCCAGGCTCTATGTGAGGTTTTGAGGACATAACAATAAAGAGACCAACCTTGCTTTTCTACAGTAGCAATAGCCATGAAATATGTAATTATAAAACTTTAAAGTACTGTAATAAAATATATTCCATTATTCTTGTAGATCAAGAAGACAGTGACAAACTCTGATTAAAATGATTGGGGAAGACTTTATGATAGAGCTGACAATGCATCTGGGACTTGAAGAATGATTTGAATTTCACCTCAGGGTCATGAAAGGAAAGAGCATTCCGTGGAGTAGAAATAATAATATTTAAATATGTGGAAATATAAAAGCTCTTATGCATCAAGATCCTACTGTAGACTGAGACGGAGAGAGAGAAATTTTTAAAAAGGGAAAAACAAAATCTATGGGACCAAATGATAAGATAAGGTCTGAACTTTTTAAAAAGTGAGAAAGGTGATTATTTTTAATTAAACTGGTTTACTTGACTTTTTCATTTTCTTTTGGCAAACTATGAAAAATAATTATTCATATAAGTTCAGATTTGTGTGTTATTTCAGGAGACTTAGATTTTTTTTAAAGAAAAGTATGAAATTCACTGAAGGAGTTTACAAAGGGAGTAACATAATGATTGATAAAGGTTACTTAAGATCACTTTAACAGTCATTCAATGGATTAGTTAAAAGCAAAACTAAGCAGAGAGACCAATTAGAAGAATATTACAATAGTTCTGGAAAAAAATAATTAGATCCTGCATGAAGCTGAGACAGTGGCAATAGATAAGAGAAGTGGTTGGGGACAAATGTAGGAAGTAAAAAGGTAATTGTTCTAATGGGTGGAGCTAACGGGCTATGTAAGAGAGGATGGGCAAGGGAGACAGCAGGCTTCATGACCCCCCTTAAGGTCCTAGATTTGATAACAAAATGGAATTTTGGTGCAATAATTATGAGAGAAAATGTAGAAGGGGGCAGAGGTCATCGAGGTATAAGGTTTGAGGAGAGCTAATGAAGAATTCTGCACAGGAAATAGCAGCTAATGTATCTGTAGGTCATTGTTTTAGGTTATTTCAAAGAAATCGTTACTAATCCATTCACACAGAGCAAAGGAAAAAAAAAATGAGCCATATTAACTTCTGGACTATTTGAGAGGAGGAAGATAAAGAAAGAAGGAAAAAGAAAAGAAAATACCAATTGCTGATTATCTCTCTAATCTCCCAGTTTTTGCCTCAAGTTGACATAAGTTATCTAGCTTCTCTTTGGGGTCAATATGGCCAGGGTAGACTAGGCTTGAGAAACAAACAGGTCGTTAGCAGAACTGAGAGTGTAGGCTGAAGGAAAGCAGGTAACCTCACTTCAATGAAGTTCCATCGTCTTTTAATCTTTTGTCTAAATGACTGTTAAGTCCAATTAAGTAGCCCAGACCTTCCTTCTCAGTACCAGAACAATCTGTCCCACCATTTAATTACCATTTACTAGAATGCAATCCATTTATGATGATATGTCCTTGAGACATGATAAAAGATCAGCTGTGTCCCTTTGCATGAAAAATTTTCTAAGAAATATTGTTGTTATTATGTCACCTTGGGGAAAAGAGAACTTAGGGTCACATAAAACATATTTTGGTTTTAATATACTGCTTTGAGAGAATGGCATAATTCTGTGCTAATCCACATAAAAAATTAAGTATCTAATATTAGTCAGAGTCTCCATAAGCAAGGCAAATAAATCTCACTGGTAAAAATTTCTACAACTTAGAGTAGGTCTTAAAAGAAAATAAATAAATGAAAAGTAAACATTTGTTTCTGTGTTGTGGTATGTGGAAGTAAAAAAAATCCACTGCTTGAAGGGTCTACATGGGAAAGAGTGTCCTCAAGGAAAAACTTCACTTCAGTTAATGTTATACGATGAAAGAAAGATTCACAGAAGTGTTTAAGAACAGATGGTCCCAAATCAGATGATGGGGATAGGGTTGTGAATATTGCAACAGAGAGAGTTGGATGATCTCCAAGGAGCACATACAAATTTCTGGGAGTCCCACCTGACTCCTACTAGATAATTATTACTCCAAGTGAGTCTTTGAACACTCTTTTCATGCTGGTAGTTGGGTGGTCTTATTCCAGGTGCAGGGATTTCCTTTGATTTAAGAAAATGTGTGGGTGAATAACTTAGTATCTCAAAATCTACTTAGCAAATTTCATGAAGCTGACTTTCAATGATAGCTTGTTGTTCACTAATATAACCACAACTATGTTAAATAATTGTTTTAAAAATATTTTATTGAGATATAATACACATACTTTTAAAATTATACAATTCAATGATTTTTGGTGTAATCACAGAATTATGCAACTATCACAACTTTAGAACATTTTCATCACCTCAAAAAAATTGTGTACTCATTAGTAGTCACTCTACATTTCACCCCAGCCCTTGACATGTGCTAATCTGCTTATCTCTATAGATTTTTCTGTTTTAGACGTCTCATATAAGTGGAACCACATAATAAATAGTCTTGTGTGTCTGGTTTCTTGAACTTAACATTATGTTTTCTTAAGGTCTGTCTATGTTGTAGCATGTATCAGCACTTAATTCATTTTTTATGGCTAAATAATGTTCCATTATACAGTGCATTGGTTTCCTTGGGCTACTATAACAGAGTACTACACACTGGGTGGCTTAAGACAACAGAAATTTAACAATTCTATTCTTTGAAACATTTTCTACTTTGTACAGCATACCTCTCTAACTTATCTGACTAGACACAACACCATCCCTTGTCAGTTATAACAATCTACTGTTTATATGGTTTATTTAAGAGTAATCAGACCCACATAAATGTATCTAAGATCCCCCAGTTTACACATGTAATGATGTGGCTTTGTTAACTCAACAAAATTGATTTCAGATTCCAGGATGTAAAGAGTGTTGACAGTCCACTGGGAACCAGGTGACACAAAATATAATGACTGAGAATCAGCAACAGTAGTGATCAGGACCTATTCCAAGACTACAAGATTGTAATTATTCCATTGTCACTGAAAATTGTGTTTTATATCACACTTGATGCAACTGTCAATACTGAGTGAGTAATAGCATCCTACATACATATTTATGGAGCCATTTTCCTAAGAATCTCAACTAAGGGAAGCCTTATTTTCATCACCCGTCAAAACAAAGTAGAACAATTAACAATAAGAACAATAACAAAAGAAGTGTTTTACAATTTTTTTACAGTGATAGGCCTAAAACATATTCAAGATTCTTGGTTTTTTCATCTAACAAATATTTAGTGAGTACTTGCTGTGTACTGCACACTTTTTAGGCTTTGTTAGGGAGCAATACTGTCCTCCAAGAACTAACAACTTAGAACCTATAAAAGCGTTCAGCTTGAATACATCTCAAAATTCTCCTGCTACCTTGCCAATCTTGGGCTTATTATACTGGTTGTTTAGCTTAGTTCAGCCTTGCATAATCAGGCCACATCTGTGCAGATGCAGTAATTAATTCCTATCTGTGGCCTGCCACAAGGAGACATAAATATTAATAGAGCCTCTTATCCATAATTTTAGAAGGTAGCACTTTGGGATTTCTGAGCCCAGGAAAGCCATACCAGAAAAAGAGAGCACAAGGTCAGGGGTACAACTGGCTGGACTAGAAAATCCATCAGGTCAGAATAAAAGACTTAAGAAATATGTGTGTTTTAGAAGCAATCTTCTAAATGCCCTTCAGAAAATCCTCCTCAGGACACTACTCTTTTTAAGCACTGAATTGATTTCCTCCTTATCTTTGGTTTAGTTCCAAATTATTTCATGCAACTCTGGAGACCCTGCTTATTTCATGGGCAGGGCCTGACTTTGCCTCTGAGCCAGTTTGTTTTGCTGTTCACCCTCCCTGAAATAGTCTTCTCTGTTTCCTCAGTTGGATAACTTATCCTATCTTTCAGGTATGAATGTCATCAACTTCCTCTAATAAACATTCCGTGAACCCCTCTCCACCAGGGAGTAGATTAGACAACTTTTTATTTTTTTGCAAAAGAATCCTGTATTTTCCCCACTCTAAAATCATGCTGTAGTATGATTGTCTGCTTATTTTTCTGTAATAAAAGGGTTCATATACGTTATTGGCCAAACAAGATAATTTTGAGATTAAAAACAGCATTACAATAACTATAATCTTATACATGTTTAAAATAAGTATTTACTAACAAGTGGGGTTTGGGCCTATGGAAGTGTTATAAAATATTTTTGAAGTAGAATGTTTCTTTAAAAAAGCAATATCTATTTCATCACACACCGGGGCCTATCATGGGGAGGGGGCAGGGGGAGGGATTGCATTGGGAGTTATACCTGATGTAAATGACGAGTTGATGGGTGCAGCACACCAACATGGCACAAGTATACATATGTAACAAACCTGCACGTTATGCACATGTACCCTACAACTTAAAGTATAATAATAATAAATAAATTAAAAAAAATATTTAAAATGGGGCAAATATTTAATTTTCTGTAAATAAACAAAATGTAAATTCCATAAATTGAATGATTGGTAGTGTTTATGGAACATTAAAACTTTACCTTAATGTAAAAAAAAAAAAAAAAGCAATATCTATTTCTGTTCATAAAAGCAAAATAATATTTGTTTTGATTATCAACACATTAAAAATAAGTAGTATGATTATTTATATTATATATTCATATAATTTAAACACCATCTTAGTTGTACAAGTAATATTGGTCATTTTACTTGTGGACAATGTATTTTTGAAATACAGTTCTATTGTTTTCCATTTTTTTCATAAAATTGCCTGCAATTGTTTTCGAAGTTGTACTTTATACTAATAAACTTGAAATTGTTGAAACCTTTAATTGACTGGTCTCTGTAGAATGCATTACTTTTAACTGAGAAAATACCCTCTCTACATGCACTGAAGTACCTAGTAATCACAAAATATTTTTTGCTAAATACAGCATATTCTCAGTTAGTGGAAGTATACTGCATATTTCAAAAAAAGCTAGAGGAAAAGAATTTGAATATCCTCATCACAAAAAAACTGGTAAATATTTGAGAGGATGAAATTCTAATGACTCTGATTTGATCATTATACAATCTCTCTATGTATTGAAACAACGCAATATACCCCATACCTATGTATAGTTAGTATGTATCACAGCTTTTACTTTTTTTTCTTTTTTTTTTTTTTGAGACGGAGTCTCGCTCTGTCGCCCAGGCTGGAGTGCAGTGGCCGGATCTCAGCTCACTGCAAGCTCCGCCTTCCGGGTTCACGCCATTCTCCTGCCTCAGCCTCCGGAGTACCTGGGACTACAGGCGCCCGCCACCTCGCCCGGCTAGTTTTTTGTACTTTTTAGTAGAGACGGGGTTTCACCGTGTTAGCCAGGATGGTCTTGATCTCCTGACCTCGTGATCCGCCCGTCTCGGCCTCCCAAAGTGCTGGGATTACAGGCTTGAGCCACCGCGTCCGGCCACA